AGGCAAACAGGCATAGAAACAGTCAGACTCACACCCACAGAATGATCTTACTGTGGCTGGAGGAAATGGAAAAGGCAATGGAATCAATCAACTCTCAAAACCATTGGGTTTGTATGTTGATGATGATCAAACTGTCTATGTCGCTGATGATTTGAAACATCGTATTGTGGAATGGAAATGGGGTGCGACGAGTGGCCAAGTGGTTGCCGGTGAAAATGGACAAGGAAGTGGGGCTCATCAGTTGTATAACCCAAGAGATGTGATTGTCGACAAAGAGAGAGATAGTCTCATCATCTCCGATTGTTTGAATGGAAGAGTGGTTCGATGGCCTCGTCGAAATGGGACAGGTGGAGAAACTATCATCTCCAACATCGATTGTTGGGGTTTGACAATGGACGAGAATGGATCTCTCTATGTCACTGACATTGGAAATAATCAAGTAAGACGATATCGAAGAGGAGAATCTCAAGGAACAGTGGTTGCAGGTGGCAATGGAAGTGGAAATCGTCTCGATCAACTCTCTGACCCAGGATACGTATTCGTCGATCGAGATCATTCAGTATACGTGTCTGATTTGGACAATCATCGTGTGATGAAATGGGTGGAAGGTGCAAAACAAGGCATTGTCGTGGCTGATGATCAAGAAGAAGGAAATGGTCTTACACAATTGTCTTGTCCTTATGGAGTCGTTGTCGATCAATTGGGCACTGTCTATGTGGCTGATTGGGGGAATGATCGAATCATGCGTTGGCCCAAAGGAGCCACACAGGGAAGTGTCATTGTTGGTGGAAACGGTAGAGGAGAACAATCGAACCAACTCAATTGGCCCATCGGTTTGTCATTCGATCGACACGGCAATCTCTATGTCGTCGAGTACAGGAATATCAATATCGACTGAAATACAGAAGAGTTCTTTACAGTTGCTATTGATTCAATGTGCTTACTTTTGGAGAACTCTCAATCAAATAAAGGAGCTCATTTCAAGGAAAAAATCGAACTGAGTACTGTTGAAGTGCTTTACAAAGAGATGAGAACAGTTGCGTACCATTTGTTTAAGAGATGCCGATGTAAATCCATTCTTTTTGCTTGTTGATTCTGAATGATTAGTTCAAAGATTAAATATGTAGAAATGAGGAATCCAAATACAATAGGAACATATTTTATTCTTTTTTGTTTCGTTGATACATGATCAAAGTCAATTCGAAATGATGGATCTTTCAAATCTGAGCGAATTCACGGAAATCGTCACTAATTGATTATGTTCGAAATAAAAAAGAAATTGTATTGATTTTTTTGTCAAGTGCTAAAAGCTGTGAAATCAAATAGATTAAACATAGAATAAATTCAGAGATAGATACAGTGAATAGAAGATCATCGAAAAAATATTGAGTGATAACCAATGCGACCCTTAAGACACTACTGCGATCGATATAGTCCAGAACGTTTTTTCATATTCGATCTGAGGATCAAATTTACTTCTAACTCAAGTGTTATGTTGAATCATCGAATAACGGGTGAGGTGGAATAAGTGGATACTTCATCATTCGATTCTTGACAAGAATGCATCGACAGCTTAGTTGTAAAACTTTACAGGAAAAATTTTGAATCAAATTACGTAATACGAATATGAAGTAGCAATATGCTGAACATTTAAACAGAAACATCAGTCTTTGAGAGACTTTGCATTCTTTCTCTTTCGTTGTTTGATTTTTATACAGAAATACGCTCAATTTTGATATCTTGAACGTTTTGCATGATCGATGAACTTGTAATTAATAAGCAAACATGAACACAACAGTACAGAAGTAATAACAACAAAACGAGTACTACTCTCACTACAAAATAAAGCTGTTGAAGATACAACAGATGCTTCCGAAAGAAAAAAGGTCTTCTCAATCCACTGTCGAGAACTGTTAAACTGTCTGTCATCGGACACAGTCACTAAGTTAAAATGTTCGTTTGTTCAATTCAGTTTACAATTCTTGGACTACGCCGACAAATATTTCTCCAAAAATGCACTTTCTTTTAGAGACAATTGGACACTTCGACTAGGGAATCGAGGAACCTACATAAGATCAGTTTCAAAAGTGCACTCAAGTGACAAAGAGCGAATGTTTGAACGAAGATAATCTGTTCAATGAGTTTACTGAATTGAAACTGACCTTCGAAGTGATCAACACGAAACAAGTGTCGTTATTTAATTAGATTAGATTTTTTTCTTTTGTACGAGGACGAAAACCAGACTGCAATGACGACCATGAGTCAAACTGAGTATAACGAAGAAGCACAAACGAAATTGATTCGACCAGTTCAACTACGGCCGATGTTACTAGCTGTCATAGGGTACACCAACAGTAAATATGAAGTGACTTATTTATTTATTTCTTGTATACTATTTTAGGAAGCAACATTTTTTCAAACGTGTTTTTGTCGGAAATGAGACATCTACTAAATGATTCTTGCAATTGAATGTCAATAGGTTCAATTGTTGCGAAATTAAAAATTAAGCGAAAAACCTCATGGTTGTGCACAGATATGCACACAAATATTTGTTGTCTCAAAAAGAATTGTTCACAGCAATTCATTCGAATAGTAAATACACATTTAAGAAGAACAACGTGTTTAATAAAGTACCAATCGTTGTTTCGTATTATATTATATGTATGTTTTGATATTTTGCGAATAAACAAGTGCCATGAACAGATGTAAATAATGATTTAAAACCTTAAAGATCAGATGAGTCCAAACAAAACAGCTATTCGTTTTTTGTTTCCTTGTTCTGATCTGATCTGATCAGCTGGCAACCCTGTCTGTGATCTATCGATTCGAGCATTTTGACAAAATTCGCTTCAAAAGCAATTTTCAATTAACATTTTAGAAAACAATGTAAATTAAATGAAAGTTGACAATTAGGGAATTTTCTTGTTCAATATCTTAGATGCGCGCTAGTAAAAATAATCAAGCAAATATTAAATAAATTCAATATTTATTTTTGTTCGACGGAAATAACTTCATTTCAATCAATTTGATTATTTTCTATTTTCCATTAGTCTGGTTATGCAGTCGGATTTCAAAGAATTTCTTTTTCTAAAGTCAATTGATCTCATCGTTCTTTTGTTGTCAAAATCTATGATTTAGGAAACATTTGACACGTCCCGTTCTGTACAATTCCATTTCTCATATGTTGAATCTTGATTTGGTTGCAATCGTATTGACCTCTCTATTTTTGAACATAAATGACATTCTCTCAGAAAATCTAATATTTATTATTTCCCACAAAAAAATTAGCAATGGTTACAAGGACACTGTGAATCATGTAAATTTAATGAAGAGTTAGTGGTTCTGTGCACCAGGCATGTTTGAAAATGAGTGCTTTCGTCTCGCGCAGATCTATTTCATATTCAGGCAGTATTATCATGAGAAAGCATAAAAACATGAAAGTCGAAAAAATGAAAAAACTTCTATGTATTTATGAAAATGCTCATACGTTTAACAGGATTATTCACGTTTTTGTATATAACATTTGGAATGGCAGCTATCCCCTAAAAGCGAAAAATCGAATTACATAACTCGATTGTTTCCAGAAAAATCATTGATCTTCCGAATACATACAAAGACCACATTATTTATCTCAAAAGTTCCAGAACTTACTATTTCTTGCAAGAATTCGCTTAGGAAGGTATCATACTGAAACCAATAATTCTTCCAGTTGTAGAATTGAATTATGATTTTGGGAAAGTCATCGATTCCATACGTATGTCTTCCTGATCAATTTATTGCAGGAAATAGTAGTTTTTGAAACTGTTTAGGCAAATAATGTAATATGTTTATCTTTCAGTAGGTTAGCGATTTTTAAAAATATCAAGTCATGCAATTTGATAAAAAATTCAATTTGGCAAGGAGAACATCTGTTACAGTGAATGTCTTCAAGAAAAATTGGAATCTGTCGCTGACTTAATCAATATGGTATCAATCGAAATCTGCCAATATTCTACTTCAGATTTAGTTCGTCTATTATTGAGGAATCCATCAATGAAAAGCAACATTTTCATTTTGATGCTACCCAAACGCAATCATGCTTTGAAAAAAAATGAAAAAAACTATTTTTTCTGCTTCCACGATACAGAAACGAGAACCAGCATTTTTAGAAATTAATCCCAGACATGTCTACTGTACTCATATTGTGTGTTAGTAGTAATTGCATTCGTTTGCCTGCACAACAAAGGTCTTCAACTTTAACAGGCGTGCAAATTTGAAGAGCACACATATCATCATGATTTTTTTTATAAAAATATGAATTTTATATGTTCAGATACCATTTTTTCATCATTATTTTTGACTCACACATGAAGCAAAATCATGATCTGCCAAATGAGCAACGATGCAAAATTAATAATACAAATGTCAAATACTGTTGGATCATATTGTTGACTTTCAATTCAACCAGTGTTTTCGTGCTGGAAAGAGCAAAATCTGAACTGCAAAATATGTGTCCAAACATATAATTTCCAGGACCAATCTGTAAAGTAGAACAAGTTCAAAACCAAATGTCTCTAAAGAATATTCTTGCAACTATACCGTCGAGCAACATCATTTTCTATTTCATTTATTTTTTTATAGTGTAAAAGAATGAAAAAAACATGGTCAATAATGATTTGTGTAGCTTCAACAATGATCTTTTCAATGATTTACCAGAAGTAAAATTTGTTCTTTCTTTTTATACCAAAATATCATTTTTTATCAAAGAGACTGGAAAATTTGATCTTTCTGACAACTTGGCAATTTTAAAACGGTAAAAAATATTTGTTAGGTTACCTTTTTTCTTAAGCTTCCAAGATCTGATATATTTCGAACAAATAGCATGAAAAAAATTCAGTTCATGTATGAAATCAGTCAGAACTCAACAATCTGAAAATGGTTCTACATATTGGCATCTACGTAGTAAAAGACGTATTCCTGTTTTCTTATGAATCTTCATCAAGATCTAAACTCAACATCTGTTATGTATTGGAATCGATATTTAATCGTGGTGCTCGATCATTTCCACAATCGACGACATAGAGATTGCCGTGTCGATCGAATGACAAACCGATGGGCCAATTAAGTTGGTTCGATTGTTCTCCTTCACCGTTTCCACCAACAATGACACTTCCCTGTGTGGCTTCTTTGGGCCAACGCATGATTCGATCATTCCTTGCATTAGCCACATAGACAGTGCCCAATTGATCGACAACGACTCCTCGAGGAGAATACAATTGTGTAAGACCATTTCCATGTCCTTGACCACCAGCCACGACAATGCCTTGTTTTGCACCTTCCACCCATTTCATCACACGATGATTGTCCCAATCAGACACGTACACTGAATGATCTCGATCAACGAATACGTAGTATGGGCGAGAGAATTGATCGAGACGATTTCCACTTCCATTGCTACCTGCAACCACTGTTCCTTGAGATTCTCCTCTTCGATATCGTCTCACTTCAGCTTTTCTATCGTCAGTGACATAGAGAGATCCATTCTCGTCCATTGTCAAACCCCAACAATAGATGTTCGAGATGATCGTTTCTCCATTTGTCCCATTTCGACGAGGCCATCGAACCACTCTTCTATTCCAATGATCGCAGATGATGAGACTATCTCTATCTTTGTCGACAATCACATCTGTTGGGTAAGACAACTGATGAGCCCCACTTCCTTGTCCATTTCCACCGGCAACTACTTGGCCACTCGTCGCACCCCATTTCCATTCCACAATACGATGATTCGATCGATCAGCGACATAGACACTTTGATCATCATCAACATACAAACTACATGGGTAGGAGAGTTGATTGATTCCATTGCCTTGTCGATTTCCTCCAGCCATAGGGATACCATTCTGTTGCCATCGAGCATTCGGATGAATGTTGGTGCTGGGCGGAGCACGTAATGGGCTGTCTGAAATAGAGACAAGTAAAATTATAGCATAAGAGATAATGAGAGAGAGATTTGCTACAAGCCGAGAAATCTTTTTTAGACAAATTTTCAACTTTGTAGACGACCATTGTTTTGTTTCAACTATTTTGTACAATTTAAAGTTATGCATTGCAATATTGTCGGTCAACAATTCATCATTCTTGTGTTCGAGTTGAAAGTCATAAGATTTCTACGCAAATGACAATGTTCCAATATCATTCATGTTCTATTCCGGAAGAAATGCAGATCAAATAAAGAGTTCTACTTATGACCGATTTTCAACAAGTGTATGCAAAAGACTATTCTTCATTTCCAATTCAAGTGTTCAACAGCATTGCGTTGTTCAAACTTTTGAATTGAAAAGAGGTTCTCTGAACAAGCGTATCGTCGATTTCTTTTTCGATAATAACTCTATTGAAATAGTTGTTTCGTACAATGAAGAGATTCGTTATTCAATACATTATGGGTGTATTTTGTTCATCAACTGCTTTTATTTTAATGTGTTAGTTTAAAAAGTATCAAACGTTGATAACTTTCGTATTGTTTGAAATTACATCATCATTATCAGAAAACGACGTCCTTCATTTTGAAGAATGATGGGTGAGAGTGAGAGCCATTTTAAATTTTGATACAAATAGTTCGTCGAATGATTGTTTGAAGAAGAATCGATTGGATTGGTCAATTGGTAGAATAACTTTTCTACACTTTGAATTCAAATAAATAGGGATCAAAGATCTCACAAGCTAGCTGACGATTAGCAATGAATAAAATTAATTTCTTTAATTTCGCTTGATTTAAAAGTTGAAAAGATATTTGTCGATAACCTGATTTGTTTGACTAATCTTCACGACCAGTTATCTGTCAGTGGTCAGATAAAATTTATCTATCCATCTAGGTCTATGACTGATATTCTCATCAGTGGAATGTATCAGAAAAGCCACTATTGTTATCAGAGCTCCAATCGAATTGAGTTTTTTGGGTTCAAGTTCGGTTCAGTTTAGGTTTTAGCTCTGGCCCAGGCAGACAGCGAAACGAATAAAACGGTGTTTAAACATTCCAATATGTAAACTATTTAAACAGTGTCATATGTCGCCAAAAACACGTTAAAACGGTTTATGGAAAAATAACTTTTAAC